AAATATGATTCTTAAAAGTTTTATCAAAATACTTTATAATATAATAAAAAAATTCATAATTAAATAATAAAGCCGATTTAAAATAAAACCTCACGGTTTATTGACGGTAATGTTAGATTTTTTGGAAACTATATATGTTCACGAGTGCCGTTCTACTATTACATATGCTCAAAATCGACATGATAACATAATACAAATCAATGCTTCGACTATAAGAGAAATGGAAGATTAATATGATTTATTATTGTAGATTTACCGACGTTTTAACGTTAATGCATGTTCATCGTACGTACAAAACGATATCGTTTTATTTATTTTTACTAAAAGGGTACTCGAGCAATGCATCGAGATATATCTTGATTTTAATATTTCATTTTATTTTTTATCTCAATCGATGTTATAATATGGTCTTATGTGATTTTGAAAAAAACGATAATGTTTTTATTTTTGAATAAAATATAAATTTGAAGATGTCATAAAAATTTTACAAAATTATATCGATATTAGTATCAAATTAACTATTTAAAATTCCTCATTTTTTCTTTTTTAATTCAATTTTTTTAATTTACATTCAATAATGAAGTAATTTATATTTGGTTTAATAATATAATTTTCTTATAAAGATAATAGTTAATTATTTTGTTAAAACTCGATAATTATCTTAATTATATTTTAGATTTTTTATATTTTAAAATGAGATGTTTATCCTTTATCTGATTATGTTTGTCCACAGTTAATTACATGAATTCAAACATGAAGCTTTAATAAATGTAATTATGCATAATTTACTTGCAATCTTGAACTTTAAGTAATATGCATCAATATACAAACTACATGCATAAAAAATAATTTTTAAGAGCTTTTGTCAAATACTTTATAACATAGTATAGATTTACAGCCTTGATTTTAAAATCCCACGTCTTAGTTTCGTTTCGTGGATCACCAAATTAAAATATATCAAATATTTATTTATTTAAAATTTATTAATTCAAATCCGTTGATTTGTATAAAGATCTCAAAATCTTATATTTTATTATATTCCACCAATTAAATTAGGATATATACCGGATTTTATTAATTTAATTAATATTCATTTTTTTTATAATTAGAAGTATAATCTTGAATTTAGCGAGATATATCTTCACTAAAATGTTTCATTTTATTTCTTGTCTTTGTTGATATAATATGTTTTATGTGGTTTTGAAAAAGATAATATTTTTACTTTTGAATAAAAATAAACTTGAAGATACCATAAAAGTTTGAAAAAATATATCGATAATAATATATCAAATTAACTATTTAATGGTTCTCATTTTTTTGTACAATTTCGTTAATTCAATTTTTTATTCTAATTTAATTTAGGTCTAATAACGAAATAATTTATTTTTGGATTAACAATATAATTTTAATAAAGATAATGATTTTGTTAGAATTCGATAATTATCCTAATAATTATATTTTAGATTTTTTATATTTTAAAATGAGATGTTTATCTTCTATTTGATTATATTTATCCGCAGTTAGTTACGTGAATTCAAACATGAAGCTTTCTTAAGTTGTATTTATGCATAATTTACTTGTAATCTTGAATTTTAAGTAACATAATTCAATATACAGTACTTCATATATAAAAAATTATTTTTAAAAGTTTTTATCAAACGTTTTATAATATGTTATAGATTAAGGAATGGAATTTCAAGTCATTGTAACAACCTTCCCATAAAACATGAGGTCACGTATATTGAATAAAATATCAAAATGACATCATTATATGTGGTTTTTGCATATAATTATATGTAAAATTTCGATTTTTAAATATTATTTTTTGTTTTGGATATATCAAAAAATTAGTGGACAATTTATTTATGGAAGTGAATTGTCCTTTAAGTACGACTTAGAGCCAAATGTCTTATGACCCCTTTCGAAAATGAGAAAAAAATAAATAGCAGGGGTATGCTTTCTTTATATAATATATGTTCTTAATTTATTTTATAAAGTGATAATATGTTAAGACATAAAATATGCACATGAATCATATGTTTCAAATTTTATTACTTGTTTATAAACTCTCCAATCTAAGGGAACATTTAAATATAAGTTTGTTGATTTCAACATTGAAAATATGAACCACAAGGGTGGTGTTTGATTGGTTTGAGCTTGGCTTCAAAGGTCAAAAGTAACAGGAGGTCCCAGGTTCAAATCCAAGGAGGAATAAAAATCCCTTTGTGGCCATGGAGGTTCAAATGCGGTGACTCCGGACTATCTGCAAAGCAGGTGGTCGCCCTGAGATTAGTCAGCTCGCATATCGGGTTGGATATCCAGGTTAATAAAAAAAACATTGAAAATATGATTATCTAGAATTTATCAAATCTGAAACATATATTTTCGTTGAATCTTAGGGACAAAAGTGACTTAGAAACAAATTACGTACGAAATGACGTTGGAGAATGAAGGATTCGTTTGAAGAATTTAATTTGCTTACAGTTTCAAAGAACGTATATTGTATAATGAAACATAAACCGGTTTCTTTCTTATATTGTTTTCATGCATAGTAAGTTTAACTGTCTACAAGTTCATTAAGACGATGTATGATAACATATTTGTTTGTAGGACTACAACCACAACTTATCATGTGATAACCGGGTTATCGGTTAAAAAGTTCGGAGTTGTTTTTTTTTTTTAAATTACCACCGCTTCTTATCATATGTTCATGGATATATGAGAGGTGGTCGACGGTAAAGGAGCCACGGTGGGAGAGCGATTGTCAAGTGGAGAAACAGTGAAGGGAGAGAGATGGAGGCTACTCCTGTCTTGTTTTGTGTCAAGCTGACTACTACTATAATAATAAATAATCGATTAAAGCCCGGTTAACATTAGTTAAAACCCAATAGATTGATTAAAGTCCAGTAATCCACCAGTGATTTAATGTAATTAAAGTTAATTATTTTCTTATTTTTTTATTATCTACTGGAAATCCAACCGAACTATTTTTTTTCAATTATTTAATGGCGGATTACCGACGGAAGTTGATGAAAATTGACTTTCTTAATGTCCGCGGGTAATCCGCTGAAAATAATCAATATTCTAATGGTGATACCAGTAGTTTTATACAATGAAGTTGAAATGGGAATGGTAAAAAAAAATAAAAACGTGAACACAAATCTTAACCGTTGGATGAATTTGAATAAAGGAATGTGATTAACCGACCTTTTAAAACTTCATTTTCAAAAACTACAATAAATTACCTTCTACCTTTTTATTGAAAATACATTAAATATAATCAAAATTGGAGTCAAATAAATTATAAAAAAAACAAATATTTTATTTTTTTTTAATATGAAATTCATATTGTTATATATACTTAATATGTTTTTTTTTCATATAACATTTTTGTGGTGCTAATTTAAACTCTCTCCTACTTCCATAACTCTCAAAAGTAAATAGATAATATAAAGAAGAGATAAGGGTTTTTAGAAAGTAAATATCCTTAAAAATAAATTAAAGAAAAAACAGTTTTGTACCTGCGCAATGCGGCGGGAACCGTGAATTTTAACGATTTTGAAGTTTCACTGGTTTATTGGAGAAGATTTAACGATGATATAAGTTACATTTGATCTTAGCATATTAATACAATTTGAATAAATAAGAATTATGGTTCCAATTACAGTCTATTGATGAAAAAAATTGTATGACAGTTTAAAATCCAATACATTTAGGGGGTGTTTGGGATTGCTTATTGTATCTGCTTATTGACTTATTTCAGTCTGTCACCGGTGATAAGCTAATACCTAGTGTTTGGATAAGAAAAAATAAAACTGCTTATACTGGTACCAAACCGGTAATAAGCAGTTTTTGATAAGTTAATCCGTCCTGACTTATGAAAAACTGCTTATTACCAGTTTACTATTTTAACCCTATTACCCTTTATACCTATCTCTTTTCCTCCAGATAACATCGATCTCAATCTTCTCCCTTCTCCAGATAACAATATCAATCTTCTCTCTGTCCTTTTTGGTCATTTTACAGATATAAGCAAAATTTGCCAAACACTAAAAAACAACTTATCAACTAATTGCAGTTTGGTACCGCTATAAGCTAATTCAAACACTTTTTACAAAATTCCGATTTGATACCACATAAGTTAATAAGCACTTTTACAAAAAAACATAAGTTGTTTTAAATAAGCAATCCCAAACACCCCCTTAATATCTAACATATTTAAACGACTCCACAAATATATTCGATTTACATCAAGAGCAATGAATCAAGAGATCGAGAACGAAACCGAGAGTTCTATGGCAATTGAATGGGAGATGAATAAATGACTAATGGTGAATATTATTTTGAATCTCACATTGGGGGATGAGAAGAACATACAGAGGTATAAGAGAGTGAAAGCATGAATGAAATGTGTCAAAAGTATATTGGAAACATGAAAAGAAAAAGTAATAATATGCATTAGTAACTTGTATTATGCTATTTTAATTGTATATTAAGATATTTTAAAACTAAATGCATAAAGTAGTAGTATTTAATGCATTATGAATTGTTTTTAAGACTTTGTACATAAATGTATAATACCTTATGCATTAAAAATTATTTTTAAGACTTTTAACAAATCTAATTTATAAAATAGTATTAGATAAGAACTCATAACATCAAATGATGACAACGTACAAGCACTATGAAGCAGCTAATTCCACATATATAAGTAGACAATAGGTCATTAATTACAATGTTGACTTCCAGATGAAACACATACAAAGCTCCCACATGCTATATATATATATATATATATATATATATATATATACATATATATACAAGTCACTTCACAAGTCCTATAGTCTTTACAGGAGTACAGTATGTTATCTTTGTGATATAATACACAGAATTAATTAAATATGTCATAAACGATGGCGTCTCTTTCTCTTTCACATGCATATATGGTGGGTGAGAGATATCACCAACCTTACGACATATTTGATTGGTTTGTTGTATTACCTCAATAACATATATAACGTAATATCATACGATTGAATTCGATAATGTACATAATACCAACACCGAATTCATAACTCAAAGAACTAAAGTCAGCTGGTTAACCTTGTGCTAAATTGCTCGCTTGTTGTCGGGAAAAAACATGTTGCTTTCCGTCTCCTCTAGGCCATCGATCATCCACAACGCGTTGAGAGAGTAATCCCACATCGGAGAAGGTGCTATTTCACTACAAGTACCAAAAACTGGCGTTATACCATCGTCTTCTAGTAAATCTATATCTTTCCATATTTCATCCATCGAATTATACCCGTCTTGCATCTCACTAACATCGTTAAGGCTCGTAGTGGTACTCTTCATTGTATTACTATCACTTTCGCCCTTCGTGATGACCACCATTTCCAACCCCGAAGTGTCATAAAAGCTTCGTTGGTTAAACTCCGTCATCGGGGTGGAATCAATAGTAGGATTACTAGTACATATTGACGAGTAGGAAGAGGAGTTTGAGAATGATGACGATGGTGACAACACCCTTTTCTTTTCTTGTGCATTTTTCCTCGTATGGGTCCTCCAATAATTCTTGATCTCGTTATCTGTTCGTCCTGGAAGCTTTCGAGCAATTCTCGACCATCTGCATGTTAATATAATAATCACGGTACGTATAAAACAAAAAAAAAAGTCGATAAAAACAAACACAAATTAATTTCAAATAATTTAATCATAGCGAACTTAAAGCAAGTAAATAAGATAATACAACTTGTTCTTTGTCATTTCTTGTCGTTATAAAGTCATTAAGTATTATTATATGTATATTTTCCATTATAAGTTAATCATATCGTTCTAAAAGCTAGTCTCTTTTGATATTACAGTGTGCTTATTGTAGTTAATCAGCTAATTACCTTAATCAATTAGAATTTACGAGTAAATTCATCGTAAATTCCGAAGGAATTACAACAGTTTTCACCCTCAGATTTCGAGGGATATTCGAACTAAACGCAGACCATTCAAATACGCATACATACTTTCCGAGTTCAAATTCTTTTAAGAATACGTATAATCACAGAATCTAAACGATATGTTGGACGAATCGACATATAATGGTGGAATAATTTTCGTTAGCTTTATCATAAGTTCATGAACTAAATGAAAAGTAATAAAAGCGAATAAAGAATATAAACCTGTGCTTAATCAATATCATGGATAAAAGAAAGATAATATTATATCTACAAAAAGAATTCAAGAAAACCCAAATATTTCTTGAATATGAATGATCACAAAGAAAGTCTCTCCTCCATGATCATGATCCAAGGTTTGGAATTTATATATATATATATATATATATATATATATATATAGAGGGTATATTTCAAATACAACCATGTAAATTTGTACAACCAATACAACCCAATTAATTGAGATATTTATGGAAAAAACGCAAACCTGTTGCCCCATTTAGAGTGAAGCTCGAGGATTCGACGTTCTTCTTGAGGAGTCATCTTGCCTCTTTTGAGTCCTGGGTGCAGATAGTTTACCCATCTCAACCTGCAACTCTTTCCACTTCTTCTTAGACCTGAATAATTGAAATTGCCAAAAGAAAAAGATCCCCCAAAATATATATTTGGGCAGGTTAGAGAGAAGAACATCAAGAGATTAATTTGGTTAATTTCAGTTTTTTTTTTTCACTTTAATTCTTTTTTGAATCGTTTAATTCCATGGCCAACAAAATCTTGAACCCTAACAGTAATCAATTACTACCTATTTTTTCATTTTTGTATCTCCCGCCACCTTCAAACCTGAAACTTTTGCTATGAAATCCCATCGTCGATCTCCGAACATGTTCACGTACGAAACCAACTGAACGTCTTCTTGTTCGGTCCACGGCCCTTTCCTCATCGTCGTCGTCATCATCATCATATCATCTTCTTTCCCCATTTCCTTTTTCCTTTTTATTTCTTTTCTCCCTAGCTAAAATCTTGATCTTGTGTTGCAAGTGAGTCAACTTGGGTGGACATTAGGGTTCTTATTTATACTGGTGTTTTGATCATCTTGTTTAGTGGGTGGAGAGTTAAAATCTTGTGATAGGGTTTTGAGTGTGATTGAAGACTTGATCCTGGCCCTTCACGTGGTGGTGGAGTTCTTCTGATGATAAGGGAACCCTACAAGGGGTCACAACCATGATGACGTCAGGCCATTTATAAAGGGTTTTTGTGGGGTGGATTTAATCCCTCGACCCTTCAGCGAATGGTCTGATAAGTGGACGTAGTTTTCATCATGCTCATTCAGATCACTATTTGCCCCTACCAATATTACTCCCTGCTCTATTTGGACTATATTATCCAGGCAGATTCAGAGATTTGTATAAAGCTGTGGCACAAAATAATTTAATTATAAAATACAATAAATTAAGTTTGGTTTTTTTTTTTTTTTGACCAAACCAATCCGGAAATTTAACCAAATATCCCTTTATAAAATTGATTTCAGTTTTAGTTATATTAAGAACCTTTTGGAAAAATTGCATTAAAATGAAATCAACTTTCACCTAATTTTTATTTTAGAGAACCAACTTTCAAAATTATCATTTTGGGGAACCAATTTGCACCTGATTCCTATTTTGGGGAAACAACTTTCAAAATCGTCATTTTGKGGAACCAACTTGCACCTGATTCCTATTTTGGGGAACCAACTTGCAAAATAATTATAGAAAAATAACTAAAATTCATTTTTTTTTCCCAAAAATTAATGCAATAAAATCTATTTTTCATTTCAAATCTCGTTTTTTTAAATTCAGATATCAAATTGAACATTTAAAAAAAAAAATCCAAATTACCACAATAAAATTTGTTTTTTACTAATGCAAAAAAAAATCAATTTAATACAAAAAAATTAATTGATGCAATGAAAAATAAATATTAAATATCACATTCAAGATTTTTATATCTAACCAATCCGTATCAATTAATTTTTTCTATTAAATTGATTTTTTTTGCATTAGTAAAAAATAATTTTTATTGTGCTAATTTGAATTTTTTTAAATGTTCAATTTGATATCTGAATTAAAAAAAAAGATTTGAAATGAAAAATAGATTTTATTGCATTAATTTTTGGAARAAAACGAATTTTAGTTATTTTTCTATAATTATTTTGCAAGTTGGTTCCCCAAAATAGGAATCAAGTGCAAGTTGGTTCCACAAAATGACGATTTTGAAAGTTGGTGTAACACCCCCAAACTCCACATTTGCATATAACACATATTTCATTACATAGAAATATAATTTACATCATAAGGTCCCACTAGTACAAGGATTACTATATGTACAAAATCTACATATAAAAATTTTCAAAACAAATCATGTACTATTACATGTAATACAACATGTATCTTCAAAAGCAGATAACAGATTAGGAAAATAATCATATTATCCATTTCCCTTTAATATCCCCGGACCCGCTATTCCTGCATTACATTATTTTAAAACATAAAATGAGGGTTAGACCAGAAGGGTCTAGTGAGAAAATCTCTTCTTTGCAAATGCAGGGTGATAAACACTAAAGTATAATAAAGTAACTTTGCTCAGAAATATTTGTAATACAATCCAAATATCCAATGATGCAGTTCTCAATGATATGCATACAAGAATAAACTCAAAAACCTCAGTTCTACTACTAAAATACATCTGCTTAAAAATTCAACATTCTCAATATGAAACAGTAATGTAACCAAAGATTCTTCGAATCATTAAACCATTCCTTTGTAAACATTTAACAGAAAGATTTAAGGCAATACTTGCCTTTTATGACAAACCATTTTCCCCTTCTCAATAACATCTAAATTAATATTTATAATAAGAATAACATCTCTAATTCATCAGGTCACAAAGAAATGATGATTCAAAGTTATTAAATCCAATTAGTAATAATAATAAGAGTTATAATAATATCCACATATGACGATGCCTCCCTTATTCCAAGTACACCTCTCATTGATATGCCGCCCTTATTCCTCCACTAAAACAGGGCTACTTATCAGAACAGACAAAAGTCACCACGTCTGAAAGTACTCATTCTCAGTTCCAAGCCAGAACAGACAAAAGTCACCACGTCTGGGGGAACTATTTCTTAAAACTAGTTTCATACCAAAACAGACTTACGTCACCACGCTTGGTAGAAACAGTTTATAAAAATCCAATTCCATACCAAAACAAACTTACGTCACCACGCTTGGTAGGAAGGTTTCCCAAAATATTGTTTCATACCAAAACAGATTTTACGTCACCATGCTTGGTAGAAACATTTTCCCAAATCCAGTTCCATACCRAAACAGACTTACGTCACCACGCTTGGTAGGAACATATCTTTTTATTAAAAAGATATAAAATATCCCTTTTGTAAATCCATAAATAAACCCAAATAATAGACATTTCTAAATTATATAAATGTCTAAAATAATTAACACATGAAAATTTTCAAATAAAAATTATGCGGACAATTATCCGGATACACAATCCGGACTACACTTGTCCTTTTTGTCCAATTTACTAATACGGACAACCCATAGTCGAGTGAAGGCTAAATCACAAGACTGTGTCCGATTTAAAATAATCCGGACAACACATGATCAGTTTAAGACTAAATCGCTCAATATGTGATCGGTTTACAGCTCATCCGCACGACCCTTAGGCGATTTAAGGCTAAACCGCACAATGCTTGGTCGTATTCATACTTCTCCGTTCAAAACATTTGACCGGTTTACATATTTCAAAATTCTCACTAACACCCTAAATCACACAACACTTAAGCGATTTATGAATAAATCGGATGACTCTCATTCGGTTTAAGAATAATCCGGACAAGCTTTGTCCGATTTAGACTTAATATGGTCACCATTTGTCCGGATAAAACTCTTAATTAAAATACTGATTTCTTTCCAATAATAAACAACATTCAAGTAAAACCAGTAACAAATTTATGCAAAAATGTTTAAAAATCACTCAACTTATGAGAATTCTTAGTTTTGAAGAAAATGGCAAAACTTCTTGAATATCCGGACAACACACTCTTCAAATGCTCTCCAAATTTCCAAATGAAGCAAGAAACTTCACTAAGAACTCAAAACCCTCTATTTATACTTCCAAAGATGGAAAGTCGGCTACCAGCCTTACCCACATACATGAATACACAATTAACCCATGCATATATAATTTCATGCACACACATGCCCATGCATATTATATATATATATATATATATATATATATATATATATTATGCATATACCCCTACGCATAAAAATACACATACTCACGTATATAACTCATGTAAGCATCTATCCACATAAACAATTAATTCACATAATAAATACATTGGGTAATAACCAGAACCCGATTATCATAGTTGGTTCCCCAAAATAGGAATCAGGTACAAGTTGATTCCCCAAAATAACGATTTTGAAAGTTGGTTCCCTAAAATAGAAATTAGGTGAAAGTTGGTTCCATTTTGATGCAATAATCAAAGTTTATACGATAAAAAAATGGTTTATGTGTAAAGTTTTCAATTTGGTAAAAATAAAATTATACTCTTATAATTAATTATTTAATTTATTTTATATCCTTACATTTTTATTTTATACATTTACTATATTAACATATATAATCGTATGTTAATCGAAATACATGATAAAATACGTTTCTTTTTTATAAATTGCACCATTATAATCGCATCGTCAATACGTTTAAAATGAACTCAATATTGACTATTTTTCAATTTAATCTTATAATTTTAAATATCATAAATCTTACGAATTATTTTTCGTACTTATATTTTATACAATTACTAGAAGCGTACTTGCGCAATGCAGCGAGATACATCATGATTTTAATATTTCATTTTATTATTTATCTCAGTCGATGTTATAATATGACTTTATGTGATTTTGAGAAAGCGATGATGTTTTTATTTTTGAATAAAGTATATATTTGAAGATATTATAAAAATTTGACAAAAAATATATCGATATTAATATCAAATTAACTATTTGAAATTCCTCATTTTTTTGTGTAATTTTTTTATTCAATTTTTTAATAATTTAATTTATGTACAATAACGAAGTAATTTATATTTGGTTTAACAATATAATTTTTTAATAAAGATAATAATTATTTATTTTGTTGGAACTCGATAATTATTCTAATTATATTTTAGATTTTTTATATTTTAA